ATACATCCCACTCTTCCACCCAACCAACACCCACCCTGTTCTTGCTCCGTTCCGCCAGCAAGGACATGTCACTCCGTCGGTTCATAACGTTCCTGCTCTGCCTCACGTTCCTCGGGTTCATCGCCGTTCAGTACGTTCTCATGGACAGGTTTCTCCTCAACCACCAGCTGGCGAAGTCCACGATTACGAGAGGTAAGTTGAAGATCCTTATTCTCAGTGACACGTGGGAATCTCAGGCGGGTTAGAGCACGGTATTTTAACACAGGTAGCCCAACTCCGCCATGAGGAAAATCCTAACTTTCTGAGATAAAAACTATAACAGTCAATATAATTTATGTTGCAGGTCTTGAGACTACCAAAAACGTACCTTATACGGAGGGAGTGGCTTTGAAAAATCTTTCAAGGAAAGATGTGCCTCTCTACCAAAAATCGACAAATGAAAGAATTGACTCATATCGTGCTGGAAAGACGACAGTCCCTTCGAACGTGATGGAGGCGCAGAAAACAAAAGAACGAACGAATTCTGACGCTGAGCCTCTGGGATACAAAATGGCTGCCCAAGATGCCCCGTCTTTGGGAGAGGAAATGGCGATCCCAAAATCAGAAGGGGGTTTAGTGCGAGAAGGTGAAAGAAAAGGAGCAAATTATATTGTTTTCGCTGATGTTGTCACACACGATGAGACTCAGTCGAAGAGTAATGCAATTTTACCTATAGATCACTTGGAAGATAAGCTAGTTGTTCCTGGAGATCTTCAGGTGCAAAACAGTGTTGAAACTCCGAGAGCATCTTCAAAAATGTATCCCTTGAAGTCTACTCAAAAGCATTCTGAGCAAAAAGTGAAAAATTCTCCCCAAGAACTGGTTTTCTATGTCGTCATCTGTAAAGGTAATGTTGCTTCTGTATTGTATTTCTAATGGTCTATTGGGCGTTTTATATGCAAGATATTATTATTTCAGATAAATATTTTTAAAAATCAATATATCCATAGTGTGACTCCTCTTCCATAGGTCACCCTGACAACATCATGACAGACGTAAGGCGGCAGATGAGACAGTGTGAGGTTATGCTGAAGTCCGCTGTGGCTTTCACAAATTATCTGCTTAGGTATGCTAGGGCATTCATTTACTCCTAACCACTAACTCTCCAAAGGTCCACTCAGAATGATTAATTAAGATGGTGGCAGTTATGATACTGAAAAAAGTAAAGAGAGTTGTATTTGATAATGGCAGTGACGTTGCGGAGTTAAAACAGCACATATATTTCCGCTATAACGACTAGAATTATATGGTATATCTTTCGCTGATAACAGACATTATGACAAATTAAATAATAAGCTGACAAAAGTTCCCATGTCACGGATGTCCGCAGTGCAGGAATAAAGGCGAAGCATTCGCAGGTTCATCGTGTGCACGGACGCGATTGAGGTTTACCGGGTGCTGGTCGAGGTAACGTCCATGTGGGCGGCTGAACATCGCAGCCGCATCGTCTTCGAGCGGCGTCCCGTGTGGTACCCTCCGGGCCGCCCCGAACTGCAGGGCATCCGCTGGCCGTGTTCCACAGCCAAGCTCTTTCAGCCGTACCAATTCCAAGACCTGGACGCTGTCATCTACATCGACACAGACGTGATCTTCCTCGTCCCGCCGGAGAACCTGTGGCAGGAGTTCTCGAAGTTCGACGGCGCGCAGATGATGGCGCTGGCAGCCGAGGCCCCCGCGGACCCCCGGGACCCCCCGCGGCACGACCAGGCATTTGTTTCTTATACGTCGTCTTACTTCAGAGATTTGTTAAAACACAGCTTGGTAGTGTCATAACATACTAAAGCCATGAAACAATACATTAGACTAATATCAAGCCATAAAAAGCCCAGTCTCTCTTTTTCACTAATCCGGTTCCGTCCGCCCTCTGCCCCAGGAACCCCGCCACACCCCACACGGCCTCAACACCGGCGTCATGCTCATGAACCTCACCCGCATGAGGCAGTTTCCCGGCCGAGGGTGGATAGGCGAGGTCGTCACCGCCTTCGACACCTTCGTCACCGCCATGACTTCAACGCCCTCCAACCGCCTCGTCAACACCCTCTTCAGCCAGGTGATTGCGACCAGAAGGATTATTTCCACTGTAATATCTACCTGACTTATTGAGAGCAATGAGGATAAACATTCCTAACTGACTAGCTAACTAATCAGTATCATGTAGATACATCACAATAAGTGAAAACAACATAGTGGAGCGGTATTCTTCAACAAATGAATTACTACGGCAGTAAAAAAAAAACATCATTATTGCTCTCATGCGTCGGAAATACACAGCCTTTAATCCTCTCCTGGCAGTACCCGAATTTGGTGCGTGAACTGGACTGTGAGTGGAATTACGTTAGCAAGCTGTGCCAGGGCGGCGACATCACGTGCCCGCAGGTACGGAAGCGAGGCGTCTCCCTCCTGCACGGATACGGCCACCACTTCTACTACGACAGTCCCAAGTTTATGGTGAGGAGTTTGTCGGCCAGGCAGATGTTTGTCCTACGTTTTTGTCTCCTTTGCCTTTCACTCTTCATTATTTCTGATGATTGAATTACATATTATCCGAAGTAGTGTCCTGATTTATAGCCACGGTTTGGTTCTACTCGGCTTACCCCTGAATTTGGTATGCTTAGAAATAGCTTTTGCTGACACCTCTATTTCATCTCACTCTCCTTGATATATCTTTATTCAGAACTGATTAACCATTCAGACACTACGCATTCCAACACAGTTCCATAAACATAAGTAACTCGATATCAACACAGGCTGTGTACCAGGCCTGGAGAAACTACGAGCTAGCCACGCCCCCGCATGTCCTTCTGGATACCCTGAAGAGAAACCTGGAAGCCGCGACTTCTGGAAGGCTGTGGCCAGGGTGTGAGAGCATCCTCGACATAGACCACGTGTTCGTCGATCCCGTCAAGCATACTATAAGCAACTACCTCGTCAACAAACTAAGGAGATTCGTGACTGAAGTGTACGAATCTCTAGGCCTGAGGAGAGGCCCGAAGGAGAGTGACAGGGACTCGGGTGTCGACTTCAAGATGTAAATAGAGACACGATGGCTTGCTTGTTGTGTAACTACCTCTCGCTACTGTTAGAAATGAGCCGTAGGTTGGAATTG